AGAAATTGTTCACAACTTTTGTTAGGCGAAAGCTAGAATATGCAGCGGTTGTGTGGTGCCCATATCTTAAGAAGCACATCAACAAACTGGAAAAGGTGCAAAGACATGCTACTAAGTGGATCCCAGAACTGAAGGGCAAGAGCTACGAAGAGAGGTTAGAGGCATTAAATATGCCAAAACTGGAAGACAGAAGAAAAAGAGGTGATATGATCACTACATATAAAATAGTAACAGGAATTGATAAAATTGATAGGGAAGATTTCCTGAGACCTGGAACTTTCAGAACAAGAGGTCATAGATATAAACTAGCTAAACACAGATGCCGAAGAAATATAAGAAAATTCACTTTCGCAAACAGAGTGGTAGACGATTGGAACAAGTTAGGTGAGAAGGTGGTGGAGGCCACGACTGTCAGTAGTTTCAAAGCTTTATATGACAAAGAGTGCTGGGAAGACGGGACACCACGAGTGTAGCTCTCATCCTGTAACTATACTTAGGTAATTACACCGCCAGTACCACAACAAACAACCATGGCGCAGCAGGGATGCCAGATGTGGGTCGCCAGAAGTCGTGAGCTGAAGAAAAAACCACTTAGTGACTAGAAAAGAGACAAAACAGTGTTAACGACCGAATCCCATACGAGAGTACACAGGGTAGCCGCCAGCTGTAGTCGAAAAGAGCAGGAAGGAGCGAAAAGAAACAAAGCACAGCTTCCCAGTTGGGCTACAAAAGAGTCCCTCCTAGTAGCCCAATCGGGTTACAAGGAGCCCAATCTGGCAAGCCAGTGCAGTGCAGGACAGTGCTCGCACTGCACGGAGAGAAAGAGACAAACTCGAAAGAAAGAAACAGGACCGAAAAACGAAAAGCTTGGAGAAGGACCAGCAAGCCCCAGAAAGTACCAGAAGACATAAGACATTCCAAGAATACGGGAAGAAACAAAAACCTTCCCGAAACTTCCAGAACAAAGAAGCAAACATGAAGCACGAAGGCACGGAAGGCAAAGTCGCACCCGAGACCAAAAGTCATGCAGTACCCGGAGAAGAGGGGAAACATGACTGTGAAGGCCCGTCCCAAGATGAAGGGGTGGAAAACATACCCACCAACAGGACGAACCTGACGGATCCAAGGGACAAGGAACCGATCCCAGGGAGGGGCCGACTCCCAAAACATGTACGGAGAAGAGGGGAGTCGGTGGTATTCCCAGTCGATGGCAGACACAGCACACTCTAAATGTAGTGTTCATATGGCCATTGCTCCCTGCACCTCTCAGAGGGGGCCAGGTTCTGGCTCGTGGGCCCTGGTAGGCACTAAACTCCAAGAACTGATAGCACCTAACTAATTTGGCACAAGTCAGCTTGATAGCTTCAGGGTGCCAACAGGGCTCCCCACAGAAACAGGTGAAAGCGGGGACTGCAGCTGGAGCAGAGCTGCAGGAGAAAGAGAGACGGATGCAACCTGAGAATCTCATGCGAGGCCCAGGCAAGACCGAACCTGGGACAGAATCAATTGGGACTCCCTCCAAATTACCAAGAATCCAAACCTGGCAAGCTGGGAAAGAACCAGATCCCAGGCTAGCAGACAAGCAGACCAGTAGGGAGCCCACACCAACCAGTCATCGAGGCAGGCTGCCATGCAGGAAGACACCGGAAAAGCATCCGATCAGTGTAAAAAGAACTGAACTCAAGCCAAAACTTGATCCAACCCAGAGGCATAAACCAGGTCTCACAGGAGGTATGCATCAAGGGGCTCCCAAAGCCCCACAAGGGGAAGCCAAGAGGAAGAAAAAACTCCAAAAAGATGAATACGAGGAACCCTAGGACACCCAGGAACGAAGCTGGGGAAAACCCTACCTACCACATTTGCCAGCGGATAAGACACACCATGTGAATGAAAAGATTTACCCCCACCCCCCATAGAAAGATCCACATAGTTAAACTGGCCATAATACGGACAGGATATTGAGGCTGTAGACTTGGGAGCCAGACGAGCATATAGGGCAAGGTCACCAGGGACAAAAACCTGTGGCCAAAATAAAATAGAGAAAACAATCCAAGGACCACAGTCTGTGAACACAAGACCAAAGTAATAAAATACAGAAGTAACCCAGCCGTGTACGGAAGACAAGACAACCCGGTATCACAGTACCGGGAATAGGACCACTGCCCATAAGTCCCTAGGAAAGCAGACAAGGTAGGATGATTAAAAGAAACAAGATAGAGCAGTGCATCCTTCAGCTTGAGCTTGCCTTTGTTTGGACCCATATAAATTATGTATGTCAGGTGTGGTTTCCGTAATTCAGACAAGACAGGGTAGGAAAGATGGATGATTCAACACAAGTAGTACGACCAGTACCCAAAGGTACTGGACGTAGTACCTTTGGTACGTTTGTAGGACGTACCTACAAAGTAACCGAGTACCCAAAAGAGCCACCGAGACGTTAAAAAGAACATATCCAGAGGCAGATAAAGACTGAAAGGGAGTGAAGGAGGCAGTGATGAGGTTAAGGCAGCAAATGGAGAACTGCATGAGGTAAAGAAACAGAAAAGGTGAAGAAACCCCCCCACCTTGACCAGTCCAGCTGAAAGGCATTCAACTGCGAGAGCCTTGCAGTCGGCAAACGGCGCCACGTAAAGAGGAAGGTGATGCAACCAAACTGATGCAGAGAGGTCCATGTACGAGCACTCAAATGTCCATTAAAGCCAAGGAAGGAGTTGGCATCGATGGTACACTCCATGGAGATAGGACGGAACTGAGAAAGACCATCGGCAAGGACGTTGGACATCCCATGGATGTGAATGAGACAGAGCCAAGCCCTGAGAAACCAGAAGACAAAACTACATGTAGAGTCCAGCAGCAAAGAGAAAGGGACTGAAGAGAACCCCCTCGTTCCCAGATGAGATAAGCAACCACGGGGAGACAGTCAGAATGGAGCCAGAGTACTGGCCTCAGAAGGATCCAAACCCTCTGTAGGACATGCCACAAAGCTACAATGTCACACACAATATTGAGAGCCCAACGAAGGTGAGGAGACCACGGTCCCTTAGCAGCCAGACAAGTGATGGTCACAGGTCCAACTGAGATCAGAGGCAACTGGGAAGATATCGAGTGAGGGAGGAGGAAGGTACCAGGAAACTCAAACCTCAAAAAACCTAAAGAGGAAGCCGGTGATGCAGCAGCTGGTGAAAGGCTTTCCGAATCCACACCCAGAGATTGAGGCTGCGGCAGAAGAGTCAACTCCGGAGAAACCAAAACAGCCTCCGAAGCCAAACACTGTTCAAGGGAACCACAGGGAAGGCAAAGTTGAGGCTCCCCACACAACTGCTCGAGTAACTGCCGAGTCACCCGACACCGGCTCAACACTAACAGAAGGTTGGGATAAAGCTGGGGAAGGCTACCAAAGACAGGGCCAGTGAAGCTGACTGACAGTCACAAAAAAGGCCCACCCAAGTCCAAATTTGGGCCAGAACCAACAAAACTTCCGCGAGTCAACCAGGAACCCGAGAAGAACACAAATCCTGGCCAGCAGTGGACCGACTGGAGCCCACATCAACCCATCATTGATGTAGGTCAGGACCAAACAAGATAAAGACACGCCACAAAGACCAGAGTCAAATGCGTACAACACGAGGAGCCAGAGGCCGAATAAGAGGATCCAGAGGCTGAACAAGAGGAGCCAAAAACAGGAACCCATCACCCCCTATGGAAAAGTGAGCTAGATCTCACTCTTCCATAGTCACTGATAGGTAAGCAAAGCTCGGGGAGTGAGGTGAGTGAAATGAAAAACATCAGGTTGAGGAGTGAGGTGGTAAACCAGCTGAAACCCAAGCTGATTTGGCCTGCCATTTGGTAGCGGTCAGATGCACTATGATTAGGGTGTTTGTCCTATGGCAACAATTGTTTGTCTTATTTCTGTTTAGGTACCTAGGTTCATTTAAACAGTCACTTGTTTTGTTGTGACTGCTTTTTGGAATGTTTGGTTTTATTACTGATCTGTGATTCCCTAACTCCCATCCCCTCCCCTCACAAAATGAGCCAGATTCTGATTATAGCTTCCAGGAGGTAAGGGTGGGTCTCAGAGGCTTGGTGTGATTAGCAAGGCTTGGCACCAGTGCCTATGATGGAGAAGCAATTGAAAGCTCCCTCCCAAAAACTCCCAGAGTATAGTTGAATTTGATTAAGCAATTATTTCAGAATATTCTAAGCTTCACGGAATCACAGAACTGAATAAAATGTTCTACATGTGTTGAAGCAGCATAAGATGTCCAACACTGTTATGAACATTGGAAGGAATAGCTTGAAATAAGTAACATTTGATTAATAATTTACACAGGATACAAAGAAACCATGTCTTTCACCATCTCCTGCACCTGGCTCATCAAGTGAGCCTACACTTAACCATCTCCTGCACCTGGCTCATCAAGTGAGCCTACACTTAACCATCTCCTGCACCTGGCTCATCAAGTGAGCCTACACTTAACCATCTCCTGCACCTGGCTCATCAAGTGAGCCTACACTTAACCATCTCCTGCACCTGGCTCATCAAGTGAGCCTACACGTAACCATCTCCTGCACCTGGCTCCTATACTTAAGAGTTCCACTTGCATTACCTCAGTTACCTTGTCCACCTGCACCTGAGGTAGATGAGAAAATTGAGTCATCCCATGCTTGTGCAATGATAACCACCAAGGTGAAATAGTACTTTTGGTGAGATGAGTAGAAGATAAGAGCTGCTATGTGGTGCATGAAATACCTGCCTAAGGCATATATAGGTGACCATTTTCAGTCACATATCCAGCACAGTACCAGTCATTGAGCCAATATAGGTATCTAATAGGTAAGCAACAATAATTGAAATACTGAATTTTTCAAACTCACTCCATCATAATACTATCAAATTATAATTTTGGAATATGTTTCATCAATTTACAATTGCTTTGGAATTAAGTGTGCTATACAGCTCTACTCCAAAAATGAGGAAATACTTCAGATTTCTAGCTTACCTCACTGGGGTTGGTCCCAAGGAGTGTTTGGTAACGCTTCAGTAAACACCATACTCTCGGCAGGAACAATTCAAATTTTCGATCATCAAAACAATTGTAACGATAAAGCTGTTCCTGCAAAAGGATTAACACATGAAATTTAGAACATGAAAAATTTATTATAATTACATACTGTATATTACAGTTGTCACGTAATTACTCTTCATAAGATGGGTAACAGTTTCTTCACACCAGCCTTTGTTGATTACACACAAGTTATGGTAATCTAGTGATACAAGTCTGTGAACTCTAGTGCATGTATATATAGAATATAACAGGGAATATAATGCCAGAAGTCCACAAACAGATCAAATTGCTTGGTGTCCCCCCCACAAAGTGCTTGTTTAGTCGCCAGTTTTTCGTGTTGATAATGTGAAGTTACTGTCTAGACGCCGGGGAAGTGGGTGGGGGATACATTATATAAACAGTGGCGCTCAGTGTGTATGAATCAGTCTCTCAAACTCCGGGGTGGGCACTTCAACTCATTACTGAGCAGCCCAGGTTGTGTTGTTTGGTAAAATATCCAGTAGTCAATTTGACTGTATTAACCTTGTTTAAGTCTTTTTCTGCGTACAAAGAGTTGATTTCAGTATTTTTCCTCTGTGTGTTATAGTGTACAAGCCAGATGTGTACAAGTGTTAAAGTAATTTATTTGATATAATTAAATTAATTTAATTTGTATTTTTCTTGATTTTTTTTTCTGATACTTTAATTCTTGCTCCACATACATCACAAAAAACCAGCGTTGAATGTAATGAAACGCCATTTTCTGGATGAGACCCGGAGGCTCCCCGGAGCTTTACCGGCTGATATGCTAATGTCAAACGTTGGCATCAGTCATGTGTATGGAGTTCTAGGGCCTACCGGGGACCACGGCCAGAACCTGGCCCCCTCAGAGAGGCAAGGGGAGCAATGGCCTATAGAAACCCCCGTGTGGTTGGAAGCATTCTATGTCTGCCATCGACCGGGTCAAGCATCCGGAAAGATAAGCATTCCAAAACAAACCCCTATTCTGGTGAAAATTGCTACCAAAAGCCGAACTAGTGGATAGAACTCAACAGAAAACAAGCAAACTAGTATGATGTCATACGTCACCGCGCCACGGTGACGTATGACGTATGACGCCCTAGAACTCCATACACATGACTGATGCCAACGTCCCCGGGAGGGGGAAGGGGGAGCCCCAGACACGCCGGCTATCCACCCATCAATTCTGAGGCTGGATGTCAAAACACGCGAAAAACTGCCGACAGGAGGGAGGGAGGGTTGCCGGGGAGCCTCCGGGTCTCACCCAGAAAATGGCGTTTCATTACATTCAACGCTGGTTTTCTGGGGGGAGCCCCGTCGGCTCCCCGGAGCTAACTACCCACAGAGGAAGGTCAAAGGGACAGAACCGGGAGGCGGACACCACGCACCCCCCCACGGAGGCGTGACAACCGGCAGCAAACGCCAACCCAAGGCGCCACAGCCCCGAAAAGTCCCGGGAACAAAACGAGAACAACGAGCAGCAAGGCCCCTGCACGAACACCAAAAATCCATGCCCGAAAGACCGCAAGGCCACGTCGCCCAGACGGCAGCGAGAGCAGCGAAGCCACGAACGCCACAGGCATGAGGGAAGAACACAGGCAGCTTAGCCGCAAGAACACAGCTGACCACCCGGGACACCATCACCCGCGAACCGGGAAAAACAGAACCGGATCAACGCAAAATGCGCTCCGGACCTAATCGCTGTGGCACGCAAACAACAGTGGAGGGCCGCTACTGAACACAAAAAACGACACACCCCCAGCCCGACCCACGAAGCACGAACAAACCCTGGACCCTTCCAGAACGCAGCAGCCCCACCCCGCGCCAGCAAAGATGGAGACTGCTGCCACCAAATAAGAAAAACGCTAAAACCGAAGGAGCAAGAAAACTCAGCGACTCGACCCCCAGAGGCAAAGGCCAAAAGGAAAGAGCCGACGAAAAAACACACCGGAACCGAAGGGGCACTACCAACCGAGGAGAAGGCATAGCACGCTGACCAGAGACCAGGATGGTGCAAGCGGCGCACGAACAGGCCGCAGGTGAAACGACGCACAAGACAGCTGACTAACGGTGCAGAAGCAACACCAAGACCGAAAGCAAGCAGAAGCGGCTCCGCCCGCGCCGCACAAAAAGAGGCGACAGTATGTGGCAAGACGACGGCCCCCAACCCCCACCAGAAAACCAAGCCGAGAGTAAACCAAGCTAACAAGAGTAACCACCTAAGAAGGGACAGGAAAAGGAAGGACTGCCAAAATACCCCATACTGCCGCCAGGAGAAGCACGCAGGTGGGACACCTACCACGAAGCCACCCGACCACCAACCGGAGGCGAGACCACGAGGCAGAACATAAGCAGCCCCGACAAGGCCCCTCCGAGCCCAGGAAAAGGCGGAGCCGCGGGAAGATCTCGGGCGCGACCACCGAAACCCAGGCGGCACAAGGAGATGGAACGTCTGCCGAACAGAAAAACTCCCCAAAGCATGCAAGCCCGCCAGGAGTTCAGAAATGACAGGTCCGACGCGAGACATCGCAAGACCCCCCAAAAAAAAACAACCGGCAGGGCAAGCTAGGAAACCAAAGAAGGCGGAAGGGTCGCCGCCAGAACAGTCCCGGAACCAAGGGGTACGAACAATTGCAATAGACCAAGACAAAGAAGCACATCACAGGACACAGGCTGACAAACGCCTAAGAACATACGCAGAACACCCCTGCTGCAGAAGAGGCAGGAAGAAAGAGAAGCACAAAAACCCCAGGAGAACAACCAGGGGTGGACAATCGGGCAGGGACAGAAAAACCCCCACGCAATCCCCAGGCACAAAACGGCAGCAAAGTGCCACACCACAACCGGACACAGGAACAAGGACACGCCACCGTGAAACACGGTACAAATGCACACGTGCAGCAGCAGCAACAGGCACCACTGCAACATGCAACATGTAAATAGCAACTCCCTTCTGCAAAGGCAGAGAACGGAGCAGGCAGACCCCAGACAGAGCCAACGGAGACATGACAAAACCCCGCAGGCCTAGAAACCTGCACCAGGCGACCGACGGCGGAGAAACCCCGCTCGATACCTGCTGGATGTGGTACTGGGAGCTCTTTTACACCTCAAGTCCGGCCCAAGACCAGGCTAGACCGGCCAGAGGGTGGCCCACCAGGCAGCTGCTAGCAGCAGTCCACCGGCCCACATATCCCCACAACCAGGACGGGCCGGAACTGCCATATGAAAACAGGCTAGTGCGCCCTGGAAGTCCACGGACGAACCAGCAAGAAGGCTTATGCTCGCAAGTAGGTCGTGTAACAAGCACAGACCTCTGATGGTAATACAGTGTTCCCCAAATGTGCCAATAGCACCACTGCACTCCACTGGTACTATCCCTCAAGTTCTACCAGATAGGCGGGACCCAAGAGCCAGAGCTCAAATCCTGCAAGCACAGCCAGGAGCCTAACCAGGTGAGTACAGAACCAACCCTACAACCCCCACACCTCACAACATTAAAAAAGGAGGGTGCCCTGAATGACTTCAGCATGGGTTGGACATGCACATGAGGGGGACAGGAAGGGTTGAAAAAGAGACAGTCACTGGCGTGCGAATGGTCTCAGTCGTACAAAAATATACCTAAATAAAGACAGGTATATAAACAACTCCGCATCCAGCGCCCGGCCAAAAGACGCAGACCGCAGAAACTCACCTGGCGAACGGTGGCACGAACTTGACACGACTCAACCGTGCCCAGAAGAACCTGGGAGCACCGCCAGGTGAAGACGCCAGAGCCGGACCCTGCCGGACCCGCAGGAGAGCAGGGAGAGGCGAAGGAGGCGGTTCACACACCCATTAGACAGGGAAAACCGCAGTGTCCTCCCCACAACTGGGAACCAGGACACCCCCGGCGCGAAGGGGCACATACCGCAGCCAGGGAGAAGAACGAGAGGCGAAGCACTGTAGCAAAAAGGGCGCAAAACACCAGCACTGAAACACCGCCTAGACCAAAAAAAACTCGACAGCGCATACGCATAACACGCTGGCCGAACCGCACACCCTCTCTGCGGGAAGGCGCCAGCCAGGACTACTGCACGAGAAAAGTAGCCAAAAGAGGAAGCAGGAACAATAAAACCGGCCAAAGAAGCAAAGAGCCCAAAAAGGAACCCAACCGGGCGACAAGCAGCCTAACCAGGCGACAAGCAGCCCAACAGGGCGACAAGCAGCCCAACAGGGCGACAAGTAGCCCAACAGGGCGACAAGTAGCCCAACAGGGCGACAAGTAGCCCAACAGGGCGACAAGTAGCCCAACAGGGCGACAAGTAGCCCAACAGGGCGACAAGTAGCCCAACAGGGCAACAAGGACGAGGGGCCGACAGACGTTCCAATAATGTGGGAAGTAGCGAAAAACCTTCCCGTACCCTCGAGAACACAGAAGCCAACACTAGTCCCAAAGGCATACGAAGGCGCAGGCGCACCCGAGATCAGAAGTCACGCAGAACCCCATCGAACGGGGAAACATGATGAAAACACCGTCCCAAAAAGGGGTGGGAGGAAACATCCACCCACAGGACGGAACCAACCGACTCAAAGGCCAAGGAACCGAGCCCGGGGAGGGGCCAACGCACAACAGCACTTATGGCGAGTGGGGAGGAAAGACCCCACTCCGCGTAACCACAAGCCCCGCCTAGAGGGGGAGGAAAGACCCCACTCCGCGTAACCACAAGCCCCGCCTAGAGGGGGATAAAAAACCCCACGGGGTCCAACGGGGCCAAGGCCCCCCAAGTCAGCCCCGGGAACCTACACGACAGGCCCCGGGGCCGAGCCGTTCCCCCAACGCCCCGGCCATACCAGAAAACCGGGGCAGCCGTGAAAACTCTAAGGAAGGGAGCCCACTGGCAGACTCATAAAACACAGCTGGAGGAACAGGCTCAAATGCCCCCGTCACTACCCCGGAAGGGGAAATCCCCGAGACTGCCCGAGTCTCAACACCATCAAAAACCCCGCCCCGAACCTACAGACGGTAAGGAACCGGGTGCAGGCAGGAAGGGTGATCCAGGGGAAAGACA